CAACAAGAGCTCTCCAAGAAGTATAACAAGACAGTGCACCCCAGACCGTTCAAAGTTGGGGATTGGGTTTTGAGGAAGATTATGGGCAACACCCTGGTGCCAGGAGAAGGCAAACTAGGGGCAAATTGGGAAGGACCCTATAAGATCACTGGTCTGGCTGGCAAGGGGGCTTACCACTTGGAGGATCTGGAGGGAAGAGCCATACCCCGGCCATGGAATGCGGCCAACTTGAAATTGTATTATTTTTAAGCTTTTTACTTTCCTCTTTTTGTAAAGCAATTTTTTGGCTTGCAAAGCAGAATGTAATTCTTTTTGTCAAATTATAGAAGTCATTTTGCATTAGCACTTGGATTGTTGTTTTAGTGTTACGGACCGAGATGATGTATTCCGGTTGGAAGAGTTGGTGTCTTGCCCAACTTTGGAGTCCCAACCGAGATGATGTATTCCGGTTGGAAGAGTTGGTGTCTTGCCCAGCTTTGGATGCCCAACCGAGATGATGTACTCCGGTTGGAAGAGTTGGTGTTTTGCCCAACTTAGGATGCCCAACCGAGATGATGTACTCCGGTTGGAAGTGTTGATTTGTCCAACTTTGCTACAACCGAGATGGGTATTTCGGTGCGTGAATTTGTTTTGTTATGCTCAAGTTCTTCGACCGTGTTATGGACTCCGGTCGACAAAGTGTTCAAATGATAAGTTATACCGAGATAGTTTGCTGAAGACGGGATTGATTACTACCGGGCCAACACTTGACGAAAATTCGAAATTTTTCATTGATAAAGAAATTCATTACAAAAGGTGGGGACAGAGCCCGGTTACATCAAGAGTATTGAAAGCAAAAATACAAAGAAAATAGAACTAAACTAGGGGGGAGAGATTGGTGAACTCATCCTCGCCGGCATCAAGGTTGATGGTAGGACTGACTTCTTGCGTACCGGGCTCAGCACTGCCGGGCTGCTCTTGTACCTCGGCCTCCTCTTCCTCAGAATCTGTGTCATCCTCCCCATCTTCAAGTCCTTCCTCGGCCTCCGCTTGCAGAGCGCTGAATACGTCGTTTGCGTAAGGCACAAGGTAGACCGGTAGCGAAGCCTTAGGAGGATTGGCAAATACGTCGGTGTCGGAGCCTTGGCCGAGGTGTTCGCAGGCAGACTTCCAGCCTGCTTTAAAATAGATGTCTTGTGTTGCAAAGACTTGCTTTTTGTAGCTCTCCTCGGCCTCGTTAAAGCCGGCTTTGTTTGCAGCCCGGCAGGCTTGCTTCTTCGCCTTCTTCAGGGTGTCCACCTCGGCTTGGAGTTCATCTCGTTTTTTCTCAGCTGCATTCAGTTGACCGAGCAGCCTGTTATTGTCATGGTTGGCCATCTCGAGAGAAGCTTTAGCCCGGCCGAGCTCGGCTTGAAGGCTTTCAACATGGCTGGCAGTGTCGTTGGCTTTCTGCCTAAGCCGGTGGATGCACTCCAAGACCAAATGTTGTTTCTGAATGGCCTGCACAAAGAAGCAAAGAACATCAGAAAGGGGACCGAGTAAGAAGGACCGAGCAAACACTTGTGCAATGTTAAAAAGAACGCCGACTTACCCTGGCCATGGATTTCACGGAAGATTTTACCAGCCGGGTGTCAGGGACGTGGTCACTGCCTACCACGTCGCCCGGTAGGAGAAATGCCTTGGAGAGATCGAAGGCAAGCAAATGTTCTTTGTCTGCCTTGATCGAAGCAGTCGCCGGGATGTCCTGTCCCCGGTGCTTCAGCTGAGGACGCCAAGCGGGCACGGGAGCAGGAGTTTCAGCTGGATGTTCGGTTGTCAGCTCGGCGACGAGCTCGGCGGAGGGATCTGCCCTTGGTCTTTTTCCAGCCCGGCGCGCTTCTCTGGCAGATTGCCCGGCAGCTGGAGCTGGAGAAGCAAGGGCTACCACGGCTGCACTCGATTGACCGGCAGCCGGGGAGCGGGTGGTGACGCTCGGTATCTCGGCTGAGGTCGCGGTTAGAAGGTTTTTGATCCGAGATCTTTTGGCCATTTCTTGCTTGTCGGTTAACCGGATTAATGGGACGTCTGGTAGGGTTGGATCTGGAGGTGGCGAAGGAGCTCTGAGGAAGTCAGTTACTCTACTCCGGCGCGGAGCAGAATATCTGTAGGTCGGTGTGTAGCCGAGCAATTCGTTGCAGTCTCGGTGACGGTACCTAAGCACGGTCCGAATTGCCTCGACGTTGGGGAATTGGTAGTTGGCTTGCAAGGCTTGGATAGTTGCAAAAGAAACAGGGAAACCGGTTAATAAAACTAAAAGAATAAAGTTAACCGAGCAAGTTTGAGTGGCTTACATGAAGAACCGAAGTCCTTGCTTATGAACCAGCCCGGCACCTCGGCTGTTTCGTAGTTGCCGGACACCCAGAAGAAATCATCATCGTGCATATCTTTGTCCGGGGTGCCGGTTACGATTTTTTCCTTGCCCGGTCTTATTTTCAAATAGTAAGCTAGGCCATCACCGGTATGGCCCATAGTGTATTGCCTCAGTATCTCGGCTAGACCTAAGTTGATGCCTAGCCGATTGTTTAATTCGTGAACGCCGTTGATTATTCTATAAGTGTTGGTGGACACCTGTGTGGGTGCCAGCCCGGTGCGGCGGAGGAACTCGGTTATAAGAGGGTTGAGCGGGAAACGAAGACCCCCTTCAACGATGGATAGCACGGTGAAGGGGCATTCCTCCCTACCCCAAGGCGTGGTCTCTTCTTCGGCCAGCTCGAGATGGACGTCGGCCGGGACGCCGTAGTCCTCTCTGAAAGCGGCTAGCGCGGCCGGAGTATCCACAAGGAAGCGGAACTTCCCCATTTGTGGCCGACTTACTATAGCCCGGTTGATGGGTTGGGCACGGTGATAAATTGCTGCAGCTCGGTCCTGAGAGGTTCAGGAATGACAGGGGTCCCCTTGGACTCTGCAGGAAAAGGATGGCAAGTGTAAGTGTGTGGTTTCGTAAAGGGAGCTAGACTTCAGCTCGGTCGGTAAGGGGGCCAAACTACCTCGGTTGTCTGATTAAGGAGCTCGGTCGCCCAAGCAGACCTGATGTTAGCCCGGTTAAGCGACCAAGCCCTTTGGTTATCTCGGTTTTTGCCATGATTGGAACAAACACGTTGTTTGCCCGGTTTGGCTAACTTTTCGGATCAAAAGAAGGCCCAGAGCCCGGTTCACCCCAGTTCTTCAGCGTTCTTCAGGAAGACGAAGAACACCAAGAACAGTGGGAGGTTTAGGACGTTTTCTATGGTCTAAGCCCTAAAAGCTATTATCTCACCTAGAGTATCTATTTTAATGAATGGATCTCCATCTGAAGAGTTTTGTCCTCGTAGAGGGTTAAGGCAAGGTGATCCACTTTCACATCTTTTGTTCAATGTTGTAGCTGAAGGGCTTAGTATATTGTTGAATAGAGCAAAGGAATTGGGGATTATCAATGGGGTGGAAGTGGGCAGTGGTGGGTTCTGTGTGTCTCATCTTCAGTACGCAGATGACACAATAATCATGTGCAATGCGTAATGGTCTGATGTGGTTGCTATTAAAAGAATTTTGAGGAGCTTTGAAGTGGTATCTGGGCTTAGGATAAATTTCCACAAAAGTGTGGTATGTGGGGTTGGTGAGGCTGATGATCTAATTCTAGAGTTTGCAACAAAACTTAATTGTTTAAGTAAAAAATTGCCATTCACGTACCTTGGTCTTTCACTTGAAGCTAACCCAAGCAGAAAATATTCTTGGAAACTTGTCATTGACAATGAGAGGGTGATTTATGCTCCGGCGTTGGGCCGAGGTATAAACCGAACAGGTTGGGGGCCAGCAGAGCAGTGGGCCGAGGTGATCGACTGTTCACCCGGAGATGGGCTACCAGAACTTGGGCCGGGCAGAGTTTGGACTATGTGCTGCCCCGAACCGTGCAGACCAGGATGCTCGGTCCGAGGATTGACGAGATCGGACAGACCGAGAGGCCGGCGCTCGGAAAGGCGCGGTCAGCCGAGGTAGTTGATTGACCGACGAGAAAGCCGACCAAAGGAGGAGCCCAGGCTAAGCTTTGCCGGGATGCCGCCTAGCCCGGTCCTTCATTTCTTTATCCGGTTAGGCGCTTAAGGTATGAAGCATGGTATGACCGAGGTAGGGCAGCTCGGCTGCCGAGCTCCAGCTATGCTGACAGGCAGTTGAGAGCAGGTGATGAATGGCATGGTTTATGCTGACAGATGGGATAGCAGAGCCACGTGTCAGGAGATGACAGGGAGTGGATATGGGGCTCAGAAGGTATATAAGCATGTCTGCGCCCCCCATACGCGACAGACGAATACTCTGTAAGGAATTTCTTACACTCAGAACTCTCTCCCTTCTCTCTATTCCCTCTAAGGTGTGTGCTAATTTGACCGTCGGAGGGTGTTTCCGGCCACACACCGCCGGGTAGCTCATCGTTACTTGCTCGCAGGTGATCGGATATCGACGGAACTCGGAAGAAAGGAATACGGGCACGCCTCCCCGTACAGCTCCCTTTGTAAATCAATCTATGAAATACACATTTCATTTATTCACTTGTTCTCTCTCTATCAATTTTATCTAATAGTTAGAATTATACGATTCACAATTCATAGGATTTGAAACGAATTTCAACAAAAAGAATTTGAATAATGGTGTTGAATTGGAAATTGAGTGAATCCTACAATTCACTATGATTCATTATTCACCACGGCAGTACTGTTTTTATTTTTGTTTACATAATGCATGAAATGTCATTTTTTGCCAAATTATGAAAATATATAGAAGAGATTAATTAGTTATATTGATATACATGATTTTATATGTATATACATATATAGAATTTAGTGATATTGATAATTTACTTTATGTATTTTTATATGTATATATATATATATAGAATTGTATTTTATATTAAATAAAATAAATCTTACGATTCACAATTCGATTCGCAATTTGACAACAATGGTTTTTTGAAGTTTTTAAAAAATAGATGCAATATATTTATTCCAGTACTGGATATTTGTTTTGGGTACCTGCTATGCGTGCAGACCAGCACCAGATACCGTACGACATAATTGTAGTACCCATGCTTCATAGCATCATATCTCTCAAAAGAGAAGATATACATTGAATAGTAGAGCTGTAGGTGAATCCCCATATTTACTAAGCCTATACAGTCTTCCTTTCTCAGTCTGTGACTCCTTTTACAATTGGTAGGATGGGAAAAGGAGAAGGGAAAGCTGCATCACACTTTCTAATATCATCAGTTGTCTTTTGAATTAGTGTTGAGGAGGGTGTGCTGTGGAGATTGAAGCTCTGGAGATTCCTTCCTCTCCAAATGTGGTATAAAGCTACACTTTAGAGTAAGAGATAGTATGTATAGTGTTGACATTAACTTTTTCCCTCTGATTATTTTGGATTATTTAATGCAATTCCCTGTTCTATTCCTGAGGCTCCCTAAAGGCTGCGCTTCTTCTTAAAATGAATTTCCATATATCTGCCGAGTAGGGGCAATTTCTATATTTCCCAGCCAGTCCGGATTATTTTGGCATTTTGGAGCAGCTTGTCTCTCTCTCTAATTTCTCTGTTAATTTGAAAGAATTTCACTATGCAATGCAACAATTCGACATGCCAAGGTTCTGTTAGAAATTTCCACTCCTTTCTGAGTTGAATTCTCCTTCAATTTCTTATTCGTGGTTCGCTTAGGCAAATCAATCATGCTCAAATCATTCAATTGTATGACAACTGAATTTTTATGCAGATTTCTGGCTTTCAGAGTGTTTTTCACATGTTTTGCCTTCTTGTTTGTGTATTGATACATATTTTGCTACGGTGACAATATTGAAGGATTTTAAAGACATTTTCAGGTTAATACCAGTATTACCAGCTCAATTAGCCAATAAAATTAGTGAATGTTTTACAGTAGGGGCCCATTTTCGCTAAATTTGTAGCATTGAATGCCCAGACCTTAGTCTATTAAATTTTCTGGATGTCTTGATCAATAAATCTTTTAATTTTGAAATTTTTTATTGTTTACGATCTTGAGAAATTCCAGGAGCTGGGTTGATTGCGGATACTTCTTTTTCTTTTTTGCTGGGAAAGATTGCTTATACTTCTTGAGTATCACACATTGCAAATTTGTATGATGGTACACAGTGACATGCTAGATCAAGTTTGGTCTATGATATTCCATAACTGATTTGTGTAAATGATCTTTTGTTTGTCCTGTCTCGTCTTATCAGTAAATTTCATTATTCTCAGAGTTTGCTCTTCAATCACAGATCATGAACACTTCGCGATGAAAATTAAAAGATCCTTGGAACTGTGTCTTTTGTATATTTTTATCCATGGTTGGTTATGAAGAATTTATTCAAGACACTCGTAATCTGCCAATAAAATTTTATCTTTTTAAATTCTTGGAATGTTTTATTGTTTTCTCTTTCTATCATATCTAAATTATTTATCTCCTTGTGGAGAACCCTTTTCTTTCAGAGCTTGATGGTAAATAATTTCTACTTTGGAGAAGGATCAGACTACGCAGGGGTTCCAACTGAGTATCTGACAGTGAACTGTTCAGTGGAGATGACTATATACAACCCTGCTAAATTTTTTGGCATGCATGTCAGCTTCACTCCTGCTGGTCTATTCTATTATGAGATTACTGTTGCAACTGGTCAGGTCAGTTTTTTTTTTTTTTCTTATATATATTGGCTGCCAATTCAGGTTTATATGAATGAAACGCTTCATAAATTTGTAGACAATAATGGGTTATATGACACATCAATATTGTCCTGGTAAGTCAGATGATCATTTTGCAGAGCCAATAGCCGAAAAATTATGAAATAAGATACTAAGCACATTAAACATTGAACTTTGACTTGTGGACTTGAATTGCTCTTTATTTGTATATATATATATGTAAAATAAATTGATAGAGAGAAAATAAATTGTATGTATTATTGATTGATGTATATTTGATATATTACAAGGAGATGTGCACTCTCTTTTATAGAGAGGAAAAGATACATAGGGTGCCAATTAGCACCGAAAGCATAAAGCAAAGGGGGAACACTCATTATGAAAGCTAGACATAATGATGCACTAACAATTATGACTAACACTACTAGATGTACATAATATACTAAAGATACTAACACTAATATACTAACATCACTAATATACAATAATATACTAACAGCCCCCCTCAAACTCAAGGAGGATAGGTACTAACCAACTTGAGTTTGGAGAGAGTAACAAAACAGGAAAGTAAACTGATAAAAGAAAATAAAATAGGATAGGAGACACTGTATGGTCGTGTCGAACCGTTGGTGAAGACACTGTATGGTTGTGTCAGACCGTTGTAGGAGCTAACCGGAATCAATGTCGGGACAGTTTACAGAGTCTTGTCGGACCCCTCAAAAGTCGCACCCTCAAAAGCTGAACATAAACTTCTCCAATTATTACCTTTCTATTTGTTTACTTATTTACTATATAAATTTTTGGAAAAGGGAAGGGTAAAGATGTCTGACAATTGAATATGGTGTTATATGAGGCCCAAAAGAAATTTATGCACACCTGTACGCGCACATATGAAGGATCTATTAATTCCAATGGTTGTGAATCATAAAAAAAGATACGAAAATTAAGGCAACTGTTGTAATGATTGAAAGCTGAGACCAGTAAAGTTAATAATTGGATGTTGGAATGGATTCTAGAACTTTAGTGCTATGTTATTTTATTTGATAAATCAGGCATGATTGTCTAGTGTCTCTTTGCAAACACCATCTAATAGAAACAGAAAGTAAATACAGGTGCGTTATTCATCTTGGCAGATATTAAAATTTGTTTTGACAAAGATGTGCTTGTTGTGTTGCAAAATTAATAGGAGAAGCAGATGTATGGAAGTAGTTCTTGGAACTAGTTTTTCAAAATGACTTGCCCGCGTACTTGTTGAAAATTCTAACATATATGTTCAACAACCAAAAAAAATCTGGAATTTGGTGTTATCATTTATTTTTTTCATATCTAATTGTATAGGATTATGTTGTATGAAAAACGTACTTTGTCATTTTTCACCACTTTTTCTTTTGATAAAGTCATCTTTAAAGGCGGAAAATAAGGAGCTGAAGTGGAAGGCCACCGTTATGTTCCGATTTGGAGGGCCGCCATATGCTGTAGTGGAGGAGCAGGTGGGAGTGAATGTGCTCGGTGGCGTGGGAAACACGGCGGCAACACCGGCTAGGGCCGTCCAGGACGGAGGCAAGAAGAAGAGACCTGCAGCAGAGTAAAGAAGACAAATCCCACTGTGGGTGTGGGTGTGTGTGGTGGTGGTTTTTGTTGTTGTTGTTGTTTTTTTTTTTTTTGTTTTTTTTTTTTTTTTTTTTTTTTTTTTTTTTTTTTTTGGGTGTAAAATTGTGATCGGGGTGGAGCCCCAGCATGAAGAAATGACAAGTGTGTGGAATGTTTGTGGTGTTATTTTGGTGATGTTGTTTTTGTTGAATAATAAAAATAAAATAAAAGAAGAGATAAAAAATAATATTTGTGGATGGGTGACTGGAGAAAGATCGGTGTGAGTTTTTTTTTTTTTATATAATAGATATATATTCTATAATGGGTGCTGGCAACAGCACATGGTGGGAGGAGAGGAGTCTGACAAAAGAAAGAGTGAGAATCAAGAGTGAGGCAACAGCACATGGAGAGGAATAAAGTGTGTTTTCAAAAAGGATGAGAGAGAGAGAGAGAGAGAGAGAGAAAGAGAGAGTGGGTGGAGTAAAAATATTAAAAATGTTTTGCCTCATTAGAAAAAGAAGTGAGTGGGTGATATGATATGAAGAAGGTGGGTCTGGTGGAGAGAAAGGGATGCGCCTGGGGACTTGACCAGTGAGGGTCACGACACAGCCCACACTGTAATGGTGGCGTGCCCGTACTTCTCTCTGGGCACTGTGCATTACTAGTAGCCATATCAGAACTGAGCTAAAAACTCCATAAACTGCCGCATGGGTCAGACGCGAAGCGGGCAGGCCGCGCGAGGTGGGGTGGTCGCGCGGGGGACAGTGCCTTGAGTGACTCTGTCGCAGGCCGACGGGCGGCATGTAAGTAGTGGTGGTCTTCGGTGGCTGTGGAAGCAAAAAACCGAGATCCAGTATGCCCGAATCTCTGAGGTCGCTAGGCTGAAGTGAAGCAGCAATGGGAAGTAGCAGCTTGGATCACACGGCTGCGGCGGTCGCGACGCGGGGACTGGTCGGTGGTTGGGTCACGACGCTGGGATAGGTTGGTTGTGAAGACAATGATGTTGGTGAACCAGCAATGGAGATTCTTGAAGAAAGGATAGTACAGAATAGAGCAATATCTTTCTCCAAGAAGGCAGAAGCCTTTGAGAATGAGAAGCAAGAATCTGGGGAAATTGAGTCTGGTAATCTAGAGGGACCAGAGGGTCAGTACCCAAGTGTTTCTAGCTCCGGAATGGGGGAGAATTTTGAATGTGGAACAAATGATGCAGAAGTCAACGTTGATTCCAAATCCAAACCATGCAGGTGCATATCATTGACAAACCAGAGAGAGAGGTTCGAAAAATGTGAGTGGTGTGGGTCGGTGTCGGGCTGTCTGTATTGGGGTGTGAAAGTATGGTGTGTGGGTGTGTTGTGTAGCTCCAAAAAAATGCTGTCTGTCATCTCCTTCTGTGTATGATAGGAGAGAGCTAAGGCGGCTGAGAAGGCTTGGAGAGCCGATGTGGTGGAATCGGGTTGTTTTTGTGTGATATCCAAGAGAGAGGTTTGTCCGAGAGGCCAAGAAGATGATCCAAGGTGGTGTGGCGGTGCACGGCGACGATGCGGGTGCCGCCGACATAGCGGAGTTGGTTGTCGTGGTGGCTCAACTCAGGTCAGAGATCGGAGATGGTGATAAAGGTGGTTGAGTTTGCCGAACATAAAACCAGCAAGAGAGAGGGAGCTTGTGTGTTGATCATTACCATAAACCCAGCGAGAGTTTGTGCATGCGTGTAGCTGTGTGTTGTTTTTGTTTTCAGCTCAGATGCTCTGTGTCTTCAAGGTGAAGTTCTGCCATGGAATTTGTTAGTAGCAGAGTGAATGTATGTGTAAAGGTCCGGCGGGCGGCCAAGGCGAGACTGCCGCCCGCCGGTGAAGCAGAATGACTAGGTTGTTAACCTAACTCTGATACCATGTAAAATAAATTGATAGAGAGAGAATAAATTGTATGTATTATTGATTGATGTATATTTGATATATTACAAGGAGATGTGCACTCCCTTTTATAGAGAGGAAAAGATACATAGGGTGTCAATTAGCACCGAAAGCATAAAGCAAAGGGGGAATACTCATTATGAAAGCTAGACATAATGATAGACTAACAATTATGACTAACACTACTAGATGTACATAATATACTAAAGATACTAACACTAATATACTAACATCACTAATATACAATAATATACTAACAATATATATATATTTAAATTATCTGAATCCTGAAATGATTCACGAAACTCATTCATATTGCTTTCAACTTCCCTTATCTTTGTATTAAGCAAACAAGTAGAATATTTCTTACACTTGTTCGTAATAGAAATAAAAAAAAGAAAAAATGCTGAAGCTAACCATATATTGATTGACCTAATTAAACATGGATGTTTGATTTGTGGTCTTCAATTGCTCATTGACCTAGTTTCTTTAATATATTTTTCTAAAATTTCCTGACTAGTAAAATTGATTATTGAACAAAAATGCTGAATTGAAGCTAATCATATCTTGATTGAAACATTTGTTCCAGCTGAAGAAATATTACCAACCGAGAAAGAGCCACCATATCGTGTCTCTGAACCTCGAAGGCAAAAGGGTCCCCCTTTATGGAGCCGGGCCAAGCTTAGTGGTGTCAGACAGCCATGGTGGAGTTCCATGTAGGTTGGAATTTGACATCCGTTCACTAGCAAATGTAGTGGGGGTGTTAGTGAGGACAAAGCATCGAATGCATATCTCTTGTTCCTTGACTGTCAACTCTAGGAACACCGAAGCCATTAAATTCAAGGAGAATCCTTGTAGATATGATTGAGGAAATTGGAGTTTCACATGAATAAATACCGATCTCCATGTTCAAACATTGACGTAGCTGATGAGATGATTCTCTTCAACTGAAGGATGAAATTTGAATGCTAGTGATCATATTTGTCATCATCACCATGGAATGGTGCAATTGTTAGGCCTTAAGTTCATTTTGCTCTGTTTTGTGATAGTGGTGTCTTTTTTATTCCTCCTTGGTGGGTGGTGGGTGCAATTTTGATCATTGTGCTTCTCTAGTTAGGAGCTTGTTTTTTGTATTTAAGTATGTAAGTGATCATGATTTTGTTTTGACATTTATGTTTGAAAGAAGCTAAATAATTATTTTTGGATTAGGAAAGTGGAAATTCACCTTCTTCTTGTGTTAGGAGCTTGTTTTTTGTATTTAAGTTTGTAAGTGATCATGATTTTGTCTTCACATTTATGTTTGAAAGAAGCTAAATTTAATTATTTTTTTGGTTAGGAAAGTGGAAATTCACATTCTTCTTTTGTCAGGAGCTTGTTTTTTGTATTTAAGTTTGTAAGTGATCATGATTTTGTTTTGAAATTTATGTTTGAAAGAAGCTAAATTTAATTATTTTTTTGTATAGGAAAATTGAAATTCACCTTCTTTTTCCTGTTTGATTACCCTTAAAAAATGAATAATATATCATCATCTTTTTTCTTTTCTTTATCTTAATCTAGGACTAAAAAATAGCATTAAGTCAATATTATGAACATTAGACTTCTGAACTCATTGAATGCTATTGAGTAATGTACTTCGACTAGTTGTGTATGTGTTCATCCTTATTTGTTAAATCATCAATTTTTCTAAAAACTTAAATTTTTAGGAAATAGGATCACCAATGTATATCAAGTTAAAAAAATATTCTCATGTATGCAAGGTATATCAAGTTATTCAACACCCATTCTCGTATCATGTTGAAGTCATTGCTTGTCTTGAAAGATTAAGCTTAAAAGAAATAAGTCTGACAATGTATATCAAGTTATCCAATTATGATCTCAATCAATTGATTCATATCATAACCCTTGTTCAATTTCATTAGAAAATTAGAATAGCAACAGAGACAGGTTAGCAGAGCCTACCACCTAAGCCAGCAATGCCAATTAGTAGGCATTGCTTTTTTTGTTTCAATGTTTGATACAACAGAAATATTTTTTTGTGATCGACAATAAATAAGATTATTTAGGCAAAAAACATTTTTTTTTCTTTTTACTTTTTAAAACATTTCCTGATTATGGTTTTACCATCACCTATCTATCACCACCTCCGTCACCCTTGCTATCGGTACTGCCACCACCACCATCATCCTACCACTATTGCTACCACTACCACTACCACCACCACCACCGCCATTGCCCCACCACAGCTGCCCAACCACCACCACTGTTACCACCACTACATCAACACTATCATAACTATTAGCACATTAGTTTTAAGGTCACAATCAACACAAAATATTTTCCACAACATTTTTTGTAAAATGTTTTTCGCCAAAATAAACAGAAGCAGAATGTTGTCAATAAAATGATCTGTGGTGCATCCAACAATGCCTAAGAATTTGAACCAATATGAGCACACGGAAAACGACCAAACTTAATGAGACAATACTCATCTTTCAAAAGTAAAGCTACTTTCATTACTTCAACAAAGAATTGATAGTGTCTTTGTCTGCTCGGAATCATTTGCAACTCTGTGTACATACAATTTAAGCAGATTGACTTTTGCTTCACAAAGGAACTCAATCAGTGATCCCTGATATAACGGATCTGTATGTTGTATGTATAACTAAAAGTAGCAATAGAAATTAATCGAAGCTAAAAAACTGCTCGCCTGTGCCTTTCGTCAGTTTCAGAGCACGACTCTACACGAATTTGAATATGGCCCATAAAATCCCACCTGCATTTCGGGCAGCCTGTGCCATGTCATCAGCGGTTTGGCTGCAGCTCCACACCTACCAGAGACAAACATCAATTTAGTTGCCATACTCAGCCTCTCAGACGACGACCTAGAACATTTCAGCACCATCCGGGTTCTTGCCTTAGATGTCCCATTTTGGTTGGTTATGACTACACTAGATAGATTGAAGGAATTGGAATAATCAGGACGGAGGTTTTCCTTATGGTAAACTCTCTCGGGGCTCTCTTTTGTAATTTCATTCTTGTCATTATTCGGAATCATTCTTTGATTTTCTTCAACATCATTCATAACTCTCTTGACTTCACTTGCCAATCCAATGGCACGCCACGCATCAGCAACGAGCCGAACTGTACTCTCCTCCGGATGAACACCCTTCTCTTCCATAATTTGAAGCAACTCTTCTGCTTTCCACGGATGTTTTGCTTCTCCGTATCCCCATATTAGTGTTTCAAAAGTTTTCAAATTGGGGGAAATGCCAATTTTACACATTGTCTTATAAACCTTCCGGGCATGATCCATTTTGCCTGCACTGCACCAGCCGCTGATGATTGTAGTGAAAATCACAACGCTTGGGTGGACTTTGTATTTTTCCATGATTTTCAGGATGGATTCGGCCCTGTCAGGGTTTCCAGCACGCACATATCCTTTTGCAAGAATGCTGAATGCATGGATGTCAGGTTCTTACACAGCTTTTGACATGTATCGAAGATGTCTTGGCATTTGTCCATGAGTCCTGCTGAACTCCACGCATTCATGATGGTGCTGAATGTTATCACGTCTGGTTTGACCCCGAATTCTTCCATCAGCGTCAGTGTCTGCCAGAATAACGCTCATTGTAAGTGATACAGGGAGGGGAAGTGTTTAGAATCAAGAGAGATGACAAGAACAAACACAAATCTAAACACAAAATTGGAAAGTGAGAACATCCTATTTCCTGGTTCTGGATTATAAATTTAAGCGAAACCATACTATCTCACTTTTGAGAATTCTCCAAACCAAAGAAAAATGCTAGTGAATAAATACTAACTTTATCATCTTTCACATTTAGAAGCCGTGCTTATTGGTTGTCCATCCAGTGATGGTAAAGGGAGAAAATTTTCTATATTTCCATTTATTTTCCTTCATATTCTAAGAAAATAGTTCAATTCATGATGTTTGAGAGTGCTTTTCTTTACTCTCTTGGATTGCATGACTACTTAAAAGGGGTAAAAAGGAATAAAAGAAAGACTTATCACTCCACTATTTTCATTCTTTTTATCCAACCCAAGGGATGAACAACTGTGTCTGCAACTCCATCTTATTATCCACGGTCGATACAGTTTCACTATCATCAAAAAAAGTTACAAACGAGATATAAAGATAGCCACCCCCTCAACTAAATATACATAGAATTAGGACAGCAGGTCACAAGTGCGGAAATACCAAAAGTAATCTAACTCCAAATTCAGGGCACAATTATCAGTTTCACAAAATTGGATCTCCAATCGAGTGGTTAGTGTTCAATGCTTATCAGGATCCACAAAACCCAACAATATCAAAGCCATAAGTGAAATCCTAGTTGCTGATCGAAAAAAAAAACTTTTTTGCTGATAAAAAAAAAAATATGTGAAATCCTAGTCACCAAAGGCAGGCAGGCCTTCAAGGCAAAAGAGAAAAAAAATGTCAAACTCAGAGGGCTTGCTTAGTTATGTTTTTGTTTTCTGTATTCATTTTCCAGAAAACAAAAAAAATGTGTTTGGCATACTGTTTCTGAGAATTCTTCCTGAGAAATTTTTCTAAAATCAACCCACTTTTCATGAGACACCAAAAAGTTATTTTAGAATTTGCAAAACAACTTTGACACAAAATTGAAAATAATATGTGGGTGTTTTCGAACATTTCATTGCTTTTGTTTCCAAACACATGAAAACAAAAGCAGAGAAAATAAAAACATGTACAACCAAGCTTGGAAAATCTGGAGTAACTTTTAAGCAAAGAAAATATTCATGACTTTGCTGTCCCTAGCAGACAGATGAGTATGTGCAGGATGATATTGGTACTGGTAATTGAATAATTGGAAACAATAGTATGTTTTGATCATGAACTGTTTGGTAGACATCTACTATTATAAGTATAAATCATCTAAGTGATTTTTTAACACGTGGAACGCACCTCATCAACTCCATCTGTGTCAGTAATGTCAAGAAATCCTTTGATAAGGGAATTGAAAACAACAAGATTTGGATGCACTCTAAGATCCTTCATCCTGTACATGAATCTCAAGGCATCCACCATATTTCCTTCCTTACAGTATCCATTAATGATGATTCCACAAGTCCGCTGATTGGGCAGCACTTTGTTATTCTGCATCTCCAATATCATTCCTTCGGCTCTACTCGTTTCCCCATTTTGAGAGTAAGCCCGTGCCAATGTGTTGTAAGTGACAACATCGGGTCTCAAACCAGATGAAACCATCCTATACACCACATTCCATGCCTGTTCAATGTTGTTCTTGATACACCATGCTCGGGCAAGAATATTATATGTCTTATCATTTGGTTTCACATTTTCTTCATTCGACATTAGTTCCAACACTTTCAAAGCTTCTCCAGGCTTGCCAACGATCCCAAACCCTTTAATTAATGTGTTAAATGTGCTAGTTGTAGGCTTACACCCACTCTCCTTCATTTTTTGGAAGATTTTCATGGCGTCTTTGACATTGCCTGATTCAGAGAAAGCGTTAATCATTGCATTGAAGAAAATTGTGTCAGGCTTGAGACCATTCTCTTCAACCTTAGAGAGGAGCGATGGAATGGACTTGAAATGCTTTTGGAGGGTCAAGGCAGCTAAGAGAGTTGTGTATGTTACGAGAGTTGGCTTGTGTCCTTCTTCTGTCAAGCCTTTGAAAATTGTGTGGACTTCTTGAGGCTTTCCCTTCTCGATTAAAATGTTCATCAGCTTTGTTCTTGAACGAACTGTCGTACAAATATTGTTCCCCAAACATACAAGGCAGTGGGATTGCATTTGGGAACTTATAGAAGTTGAAATTGGGCGTGTTAGGTCCTTCTCATGTATATGTGGTTCCTAAGAGATTCAAATATCAAATGTTTGACAAATAGAAAAAGGAGTATGCGTCTATGCATGAATTTGAGTGTGTTGTGCATGCAAGTATATCAGAATTTGCAATTGGTAATACAAACAGGCCGAACAAACTGATACACCATTTCAGATGGAAAAAAAAGCCATATTTCCACGAAGAAGTCCATATTGTTGGATGTGGAGAACAGTTGCATTCTCAAAATCACATCTTCGAAAAACCAATCAGAATCCAGACAAGTAGAGTTTATTTGGTCAGTCCTGATAGGAAATATGAATGTCTGAAAATCAAAAGAAGTTGGTCATCTGTTCTCATGAATATTAGCAATGGAAAAAGAAGGGCACATTAA